TGAGCTTGGCTGCCTCCTCCCCATTGCTAGGAGGATAACCAGAGGGTGTCAACTTTCTCCTAAATGTGTGATAAAAATATATTTGGTGAAATTAAAAAAACCCTCAAAGATTCAGTATAAATTTTTGGTGGTCATTACCCAGCTTTTCAGTGCATATCTGTGGACCTTGCTAATCTGGAAACTCTCCATTATACTAGTCTATGGGTATCCTTGTACTCCCCAAAAATGTTTGTGTCATGATAATTAATTCCTACTAACTTCCAGTTCCTTTTCACACAGATTTACAATAATGATTTCTAATATCTGCTTTGTGGTTTCCAGAGAGTGGCAGATGAACATCAGCCTGCCCATTTAGGATTGCCTCATCCAAACCCCACATGTGAACCACCAGAGAAGTTGATAATACACATTTGACTCAATACATAATAGTGCAGCTCCACACACCCAACTTAGATGACTTAATCCCTTGCTTTTAAAAAAGCTAGATAGATCATACCTAGATAGATACTAAAATTAGCTCATTCATATCATGCAACTGATTCTTATTAAGCAGCATAATCTACACAAGGGTCGGCTAATTTGTGTAATCCATGCCACAAGTGGCAATAGCAGCCTCAGTGTGTGGCACATGGAAGATAGGGAGGGGACAAGTAGCACAGCAACAGTTGGGCAGGAAGCAGAAAGAGCAACAGATTGAGCAAGGATTACAGGACAGGGAGCAAAAAGTAGAGCAACAGATTGGGCAGGAGAAAGGAATCAGAATGGCATCAGGAATTGCATTGTTGCATGCCTGCCAAGAAAGTTCGCCTCTACTGATCTACATTCTACAGCTATTTGAGTATCAATGACCCATGTGGCCTGAATCCAATATCCCCAGGCAGCCAACACAGGTAGTTGACCCAGACTTGAATAAATAAAACCTGAACTCACTGGCAGAGAACCTGGCTGCAGAGGACTCCTCCACCACACCTAGAATTTTGTGAGGTAGCTTCCATTGCCATGAATGGCCTATCTACAGAAGTTCTTATTGCCATGTTGAAACAAACCTGTGCTTTATCATCTGTCTGCAGTACTCTGAACTTCCCCTGATCTGTTTCTGACATCCTTAAGGTGCTCATGACTAATTGTTCACTTTGAGATCATAAAGCTCAAGTGTTGGTGGAGAAAGATCACTCTTTTAAATCAAATTAAAAAACAGGCCCAAACAGCTGCTTCCTCTTGGATCTCTTCCCAGGAAGATATGGTGGGTCTTCACGCTGTCCACATCTATCACCGGTTTTAATTAATAATCACTAAGAGAACTGCTAAAGGTATACGAATAAAATGGTTTATTAAATTGCAACAAACAATAGATGCATAACACATATATGCACCTGATTTCCATAATGACTGATTACCAATACAACAAATATAATATTTGTTACCAATATAATAAAGTTACCAATACAACAATATAATATTTACTCAAGGATGAGGTAGACTTTATTGAGGGAGAGGGGAAACTTTATTTGGCTCGTGTCCCTGCCTCTGGTCTCCTGACCGTGGTCTGTTCCTCAGGCAACTGCTCAGTAGGGCTTACCTTCCCCTCACAAACAAGAAGGAGTAACCCACAACCAGGACAAGAGTGAGGGAGAAAAGGAATGGGTGATACTTACAATGGGAAGTAGAGGGCCGCTGCTTTATGTGATATACACACCCAAGGGGAAAGAAACCTGGGGAGCTGACCCTATCTACCTCCAGCGAAGGTTCACCGCAACAGAGGGAGGAGATCGATGGAGCCCCACAGGTCACTGAAATCTAGCATGGTGTGGCTCCACAGTGCACCGGCCAAAGAAACCAGTCACTCTATCCTTTCTCTCACTCCAGTCTCTCACCCTAGCAATGCAACCACCAATTCCCTCAGCAAACACCTTCCTCCAATCTCTCGGAGCCTCTCCACACCCCAAAAATGCACACAGACCTCTTAGTCAAGCTCTCAGTCCAGCCACACCACACACCCAGTCTCACACACACCGGCCTGTCAATCAGAGCCCCCTTTTATATGGGTAGTGCACCCCATACACTCAGGCTCTGCACTCAGCACGTGGGTGTGCACACGGCACTCTATTCCAGGGCCTCTGCAGGTAGTGGGCATCACTCTGCAGAGGGTGGGTCAGGTAGATGCCATCTGCTGACCCGCTTAACAGAGAGCTCCATGATCCAGGCCTGAATTTGCTCTCAACACAAGGTCCAATGACAACACCATTTCTCCAAAGAACGCGAACATTTGTTTAAATCAAAGGCCCCAAGCCACTGGGTCAGAGGCAGTATGTTGCCATTGAGACCCTCCAACACAGCTCACAGGAAATGAAAAAGTTAAAATTGAAGTTGATAGGGAAAATAAAGAATGATATTGCAACAATATGACTTGTTTAATTTTAGAGGAAGTAGATAAACCTGAGGATTTATAGACAAGAGCTTTTAGAAATAAAACAAAGTTTGGAGTTAAAGAGGAAGCACATAAGCTAGCTCATTTTTTTAATCCAATTGGACCAGAAATGCCAATCCATAACCCTCTCCACAGCCAAGATATATAAAACTAAGCCTTGTCCTTTAATTTCCCAAAATTACACCATTTGTTGAGTATGGGTACACTCATATGCACTGAGATTCAGAAAGAGGCAGAACAATACAGCATACTACTAGTGGGGTTTATAACTAGACACAGGAATGTTCTAATGCACAATCTGCATGCAAATGTATGAAACTATTAAAAACAATGAAGCTAAGATTTTCAAAGGCAACTACCGGAGTTAGGTTAAAATCCTCACCAAAGTTCAGTGAGAAGTGGAAATGTAACTCCTTTACACTTGTTTGAAACTTAACTGTGAAATATAAAAACTTCTAATATTCCCCAATGTGCAAAATCTTGAAACAACTTTTCATGGGAAAATGTTCTGCGGAAGCCCCAATAATACTTGCAAGTTGATTATGCAATCAGGCACACATCATAATGCACAACCAGGCACACATCTGCTGTGTAGGTGGACTGCTCTTAAGAATAAAATGGAAAGCCACTAAATGTTATATGACCCCAGAGAACAGTAGTTTCCCAGTATATATCCTTATATTCTCACTCCACTGCCTGGCATTGAGGAAGCTGTAGGATTCACTTTTGTTCTCAGGATTCAGTGACATTTAAGATTATATCCTTATAACCAAAAACAAAAGAAAGAAAGAAAAAAGATAATACTGTACAGCAGAAGCTGGGGCACTGCCCAAATTAGTTCTAATATATTTAAAGAGACAAAACAAACCTGATGTTGAAAGGACACACATACATACAACCTGAAAATGAGATCTTAATTAGCTGAGGAATGCCATCCAGATGTTCTACTTTTTTAAAAGCTTACCAGATACCTTCCTATCCTATGGTACAAGCTTGGATCCTATGGTACATCCTATGGTACAAGCTGTCCTATGGTAAAGCTTAAAAGATACCATCCTATCCTATGGTACATTCCAACATCCTTCATAGCTCTAATTGGAATTGTTTGCTTAATATCTAATTAATAACATACCATAGACATGTTCCATGAAGATCATGTGGGGCATAAAAGATTTACCTTCTTTCAAACTGTCAACTCAGATTTGTCCCAGGTTTATTTAATACATTTCATTACAATAGTGTTTTATATGAAGCATTGCCCAGATTACTTCCAAAATGTTCCATTATGTTGTGAATCTGCATTGTGTTGACAGTGAATTTACATATAAGGGCAAATAATGTTCTTAATTCCACCTCCTTCTAACAGATAACCTATGAAATAAACATCTGTACAGCTATTTAAGAAAAACAAAAAATATTTCAATCCTCCTGAAGTTATGTAAATTTTGTGAAAGTGATTTTGCTTTCTAAAATAAAATGAACTCTATTTTTTCCTTATATTTATATCCTCTTTTTATTGTTTGTAACTTGTTTATTTTTAGATTCAAGTTAATAATTTTATATATTTTGATTTTAGACTCTTTTAGCCTAAATATTTACTGGAAGATGAAGATAGTGTGGGTTTGTTGTAGTGAACTTTTAAAACTCATCTCTAATTCTAAACTAAAAATGACAGGTTCTCTAATGAAAGACCCTTGATTTCTTCAGGTGATATCATTTATTAGACCATCTGCATAGTTGGGATACAGTTAGACAAGCTTTTGAATGGAAGAAGGAGAATGCAGTGAAGAAGTATTTCAAGCATTTGGAAGCTTATCTCAAATGAAACTATGCATTTAGCCAAATAGAAGATACTGCCCGAGGAAATCATTCTTTCTTGGATAATCCATGGCTACAACATCTCTCTAACACAGCCAGGTTCTATACAATAATTCTTATTGAAACAATATCTTTGGTTTGAAAAGCAGGACATCATGTTGACTGCTTTGACAATTTTAAAAACAAAGAAGTACTATTCTTAAAGAATTCACCAAAATCCCAGAATATTTTGCTCCAACCAAATTTGGTTTTCCAAATTTTCCACATTAAATGTTTAATTAAAATAGTTTTAGGAAATTATAACCTCCATGATTAGACTCCACAAGAATCCATTAATCATAGATTAATAACTTTATATTAAAAATGGGAAAGCATTATTAAATGGTGAAATAATATTTTAACCCATAAATGGAAATAGAAAACATTTGTGTGACAGCATTTATAAAGGTAAGAATTCACTCTGAGGATTAAATTAAAGAGAACTCCCCAATAACATTCACAGAGTCTAAGTGTCATTTATGAGGATAAATTTAGTAACCTGAATTATTTTCCCCATACTGGAAAGCAGATATTCTTCATTAGTTAAAAAAAGGAATATTTTCCCTCTGTGAGTTAATATAAGCCAAAAGTCTTAGGAGCTATCTTTGCTTGATGTAGATTCCAAAAGCTTGGAACAGAAAATTATTTCCCTATTTGATATTAAGCTAAACATACAGTCACAGATACAAAACATAACCTGTTTATAGAAAAATTATCATCCTATACCTTTGTTGTTATCCATTCCTCCAACAGCATAGAGTGTCCCAACTGTAGATTTTCTAGGTTTCGTCCTTGGACTTTGCATTAGAGTTCTTCTCTCTGGTAAAAGATGATATTTCATGGCTTCCAAAATCAGTTTCTGGCATTCCAAGTCATCCTTAAACAGTGCATGGTTTTCTAGGTCAGCCAATATCTGTGAATGACACAGACACAAACCAGTAATTCCAGCATTTCTAGACAAGTAGTACTGTAGAAGTGGAGAAGGTTAACATTATTGATTAAAAGTAACATACAAAATTAATCACTTTTTTATAGAAACACTCATTCTAATCTAATATGTTTTAAATGTATGTATCCGCAACACTTTATGGTGTGGGCAGCTCACTGTCTCCATTCATGCTGCCCAGACTTTTGCATCCAGGAGAGGTCCCTCCACCTTCGCTTTATCTTCCAGTTGAGGATTATGTTCAGTGACCTGTTGTCTCCGAGTAATTCTATTGTCATGTGAGACAGACAGATACCTACTTCTATGGATTATTAAATACAGAAAGTTATATTTAAACAGTTACTTCCCCAAGGTATATGGTGTCTGTACTTAGTAATTAAAAGTGCCTCAACACAGCAGAATTCTTAGCACGATGTGAGTACTCGGTGCAAGGGATGCCTCGCTACGGCGGGAAAAGCCTTGGTGCAGTGATCAGCTCCCGCCAAAACTAGCAGCTGCGTTGTTTGGAGGCATGCTGCCGATTGGCTCATTGTAAATTATTCATACCCGGCGGCTAGCAATTGGCTCACTCGCCGTATAAAAGCTTGGGTAGTTTCCGCCCAAGTCGGAGAACTCCGCGTGTACGTTGGGAACAAGTTCCTCGTATACCTTGGAGAAAAATTGGAGGCCTGATCAACCACCAACCACTCCCCGTCGCCGACCATCCCGATGTACCCCGCACCCTGCATGCTTGGAAAACATCGGTGTGCCACCCGGTTTCTTTCTTTTGTTTGTAACCTGTACGGAGCATGCCTACACTGTGTGCATCGACGCAAGTCCCTGTACGCCAGTTTGTAACTAAAGTTCTTTTCAATTCAACCAGAATTTGTGCCTAATTCCACTCCATCGGTGCGGCCCCATTCCATTTATACTCGGCCCCCACATATGGAATATGGCAGGTGCTTCCAATTCAAAGTGTATGGTTATAAAAGGGCATCACCAAATGATCTGCATCATTGTGTAAAACAGACATTGCCCATTGTCCTGCAGGGTCAGACCCCTGTCACTCAAAGGAGAAGCAGGGCCCCCATCCTGTAGAACACTTGGGACATGTCTCTGCAAAAGGGGAAACTCTGGGTTTCACCACCCACAGAGGCACACTCAGGGATTTCCTGGCAAGGGATTTTCCAGGTGTGTGTATCATGCTGTTGTGCCCCCAGAGTTCCCCTGTTTGTAGAGGCATGCCCCATGTTGGGGCATGTCAGTGAAATATGCACTTCTGGAGGGATCCCTTGCCAGGAAACCCAGGGTTCTCCCATTTACATTGGCACACTCTGAGTCATGATGCAGCTGTGCAATATGCATGTCCTGTGCCAGGAAATGCTGAGAATGCCTTTGCAAATGTGGAAACCTGGCAGGTGTCCTGGGGTTTCACGGGTCTGATCATGCCTATCTAGGATTTCTTGCCCCAAAACAAATGTATCCACCAAAAAAAAAACCCAAAACAAAAAAAAATCCCAGCAAAAATTTATGCTAGCTATTGTTGCTGCCACAATTTTTGGCATGACAAGGGACATAGACGTCTGCTTGCTTGGCCTTTGTGCCAACATAAACATTTTTATGGTGGCACATAGGCAACATCTGTGTCCAACCTCTGGGAATACTGTACTCTTGTACATAGGAGCTTGGTAATTGGTTAGACATTGACTTTTTAACAGCTTCCACTGGAAATATAAAACTGTCATACTATCTAAAATATATCTTAGATTTGTCTACTTTTTATAATATTTTGCATTGTCAATCCCAAAGATGCATTCAAATTCTTTATATATAAATTATTTAGCTACTCATGAAAGTATCTCCCTGATTTTCTGGATTGCTGCTTATCTCATGTATATTATTAGAAACAAAGAAACAGAAAAGAACAGTTATTCCACTTTCTACTGGATTTACATTGATTAGGTGACAGCATCTCTGCAATTGCCACAGCAGTTGCCATTAATATTCCTAGAAAATGGATGACCAATGAGTCAAGTTGCACAAATTAGTAAGCAAATTTAAAATGATATTAGGATATGGTAGCTTGTGAAAATTGTCAAAGTGGAGGTATTTAGGTTACACATATAAAATATCAGTCTGCTTATTAAAAGGGTATTTTTGTATTGATTTTCAAACATATGACTTTGGAGACAAAAAATAGTTAATCATATACGAACAATTCTTTGTGTGTATAATCGCCTGGCTTGTTTATATATATTTTAAGGTCAAAAGATATTTGAAATCTTTGGATGGTTACAGAATCAGACGAAGGAAACTTGTTTTTTTTATAAAGATCTCAGATTCAGGGAAAAGAAACAGTTTTGATAATCTGACATTTGGATAAGGATGTTTTTTCTTATTTAGTTTTTGTATGCACTTTGCTATCTGTGTGCACATATTTTTCAGGAAAAATTAGCTATCTATTTCTGACTATTTGAACTATAAATTTCTTCTGAACATCTGTACCAGCATTAAGATTTTCCTGATAGACCCAGATTGTTTTGATCCTGGATGCCTAGTATACAATTACAAAAATATCAGACATTCTGATTGTAATTCCTTACATATTTATTTTATGTTCTTATTCATTTCTGGTTTCACTAATAAATATTAGTTAAGTAAAACTTGACTCAATACATTCACTGTTAAACACTGTTTCATTTTTACAAATAGGAATTTCATTGAACTATCAATTCCCCTTCTTTTCACACATGAACTCATGACTATCCTGTTAATGTGTGAACATTTATTTATTTTTTTAATCTGTACTTTCTCTCTGGTCTCAGAGGCCTCAAGGGCCTAAAACCGCCTTAACTACAGCCTTTCATCTCCTCCTATCTTGCACAATCTCCTTCCACCTTAACACATCTTCGCCTATCCCAACTTTTTATATGATCTTCCCTTGTTGCCTTGATCTATTTTGTGTTCTGATACCATCCACCTCAGCTACAAAAATCTGCCTCATATGCCTTCTCACTAAGGCTGCATACAGGCATTTGGGGAGGTCACAGGGAGGTTAGATTGCATTAAAAATAGCCACCCAAACTCACCTAATTCACCTAGGTGTGGGCCTTACACTAGTTAGGTGAATCTAAGTGTAAACTGTATTGAAGTGCAGGACAGTTAGATCAGTCTAAAAATGGCTGACCTGATCTAATTTAATCCTACCTCTGACGTATACCTGACTTAGATCAAGTTGGCCATTTTTAGATTCATTTGTCCTGAATTTCTATACAGTACCCACTACAGGTCCAGGCCTGGGAAAGCCCAGCCACTGGTCCCAGCCTTGGGGCTGCACGTTTCCTATCCCATCCCTGGCACTGGGCTATTTTTAACTCCCTGCCAACAGCCTACTAACCCTCCTCCATCTGGCAAGCCACTCCCAGTGCCAGTTTTACTGGTGTTCGACAGTGCTGGGAGCTGAGAAACTAAATTGGGGTTCAGGGTGGGGCAGGAGGGATAGGATGTTGGTTCACTAGGTAGGGAGGGGGGTTTGTTAATTTGGGGGTTGGGGGCCTAAAAATAGCCCTTGTCCCCAAGAGGTGGGGAAGAGAGTCCTCCCATCCGCCAAGCCCACTGTGGACCCTGTGAGCCCCCTGGATTCCACCTGCCCCCCCAATCACCCCCAGGGATGTCACCTGCCCCCAAATTTCCTGATCCCTCGTACAGACTACTTGCCCCTGATCCCTCCTGCAGATGCCGCCTGCCCTCCCAATCTCCCTAATCCCTCCTGCAGACCTCCACATGCCTCTCCAATTCCTCTGAGGACCTCACTCTCCCCCCTGATTCCCCAATCCCTCCCGCAGTACCTGCCTGCCCCCCAATCACTCTGCAGGCCCCCCATCTTCACTGGAGCCTGCCTGTCTCCCCATCCCACCAAACTCCCTCTATCTCCCATCATGACTTATCTTGGATCAGATGGCTATTTTTAATTCAATCTAACCTCCCCCTAACTTGAATATCTGTACTCAGCCCATGCAAATAAGTTTATCATACCCACTTTCTTTACACCTCCTTGCTGCCTTCTTAAAGAGACACATACTAGTTTATTGATTTTAAAATACAGTAATTTAAGTAAAACAGATTATGCAGAACTGTTTAGAATTACAACAGACTGAGCGTGTAACGAGTCTTAAAATAGTTAAATAAATAAATTAGTGATGATAGTCTATATGTACAAATTGGAGATTGATAGTTCTTAAGCAATGTGAAATACAAGAAGTCAGGACTATGTGATGAACAGGGAAGGAGATAGGGAGAGGAAGGAAAACAGGATCTGTCTTTGAATTTATGCTAACTCCAGACCAAACAGCATAAACTATAAAAAAAATATGGCATGATTAGGTAAATTCAAATGTAATTCTTCTGTTTTAACAAAAATCAGTAACAGTTTATATGAATTAGCAACAGAAATTTTCCCAATACCCATTCACCTGCTTTCAAAATGGGCCTTAACATCACTGAAATCATCACAGGAAACAAACTCTTTCCTGATGAGGAAATATAAAATGGAATAACTACCTGTCTAAACAAGTAATGTAAAACCTGCCAACACATCTTCACTGTCACCAGGATCAATAAACCCTATATTTAAACCATCAGAATCCATATATTTTATACATTCCTAACATAAAACATGACATTTCTACTCAAAATACTTCAGAGAAACTAAGTGGGTGGAAAAATAAAAACAATCCAAAAAAACCCCAACCACTATGGTCAAGAACACAGTCTCAGAGAAAAATGGTAAGGGAAAGAAACAACCAAGCACTAGTAGAACAACAGTTTTCACAGGAACCACTTTGTATCTGTCCTTACAGTCCTTGTTTTCGAATGGAACTACACAATGCCTTAAGAAGTAGTAAGCAATTGTTGATCCCTCTGGAACATGGCGCATGTGTGAGATGTTATCCAGATGTTCAACATGTACACCTAGGCAGGAGTATGGA